CACACACACACACACACACACGTACACATATATACACGGAATATATACGAGAGAAGTCATTTAACAAGGCACGTGTCCTCGTACGCGTGCAAGAGACGATAAACTTGTATTTGGCTAAATTCCAGGGAAATTACTTTCGCAACCGGCAGTTGGCCCGCGTAAGTAAAATGTAACGTCCATTCGGCGAAACATGGGCTAACGATTCGTAGCTACAGGCCCATCCCATCCCGATGCTCGAAGTCACGGGCGAAGTGAGATTAACGCGTACATTACACGGCGGCGAAATCGTCAAATAATTCTTCGTCGGGAGGCCTTTACGGTACGGGACGGTAGCCGCCGGCATTTATCGCGCGGCTCGGAAATAATTAAATTTTCAAAACTAATTACGGCTCGTTGCAATTATAACTCGGGCGACATTCATCCGTGAATCGCCACACTATCATCCACCCTCGTCGACCCCGGTTAGGCCGGGGAAGCCGGGTAAACTCGTAGGCGAAATGGGGGCGAACGGGTTCTCGTGTCTCACCCCACGACGACTGCCACCCTTCATCGGCAAAATCCACCCGGCAACGTGTTTCGGACGGCAAGGGCGGATCGTGTTTGCGCGGTGTGTTTTCCATTTTCCACGCCCGGTAGAATCCACCATGTGCAGCGGTGGTCCTTTTGTTGGAATTAGTACCGAGAGAGAGTCGAGAGAAAGAGAGAGAAAAAGGGGTAAAGAGGGAAAGATAGAAATATCGCGCGGGGGATGTTTTCAAGTACGACGCGCGCTGCTTGTTTTCTCATTCATCATGATTTATATGAGTCGTGAACAACGATGCAGAGGTACGAGGAGAAGATAGCTAGATAAAAACACGATCTTGTGCCAGCAGTTGTACGCCGAGCAACGTCGAGGGACAGGATAGAAAGATATTCGCTTCCGAAGAGAATTCTTTATGTCGCGTGTCAAGAGAGTATTATTTTCGGGGAGAAATATAACATGTTCCAAAAATCGAGAAAAATTATGTCTAACCGAAATATCCTCTTACCTCCTAGATAGAAAGAAATGCATCGCACCAGTAGATATAAGAAAACCAATAATAATGTACAATAATTAAATAATCAATAATATAATAATAGAATAATTAATTATATTAAAAATAATTATTAATTAAATTATCAATATATTTAATTTAAACGGATAAATATAAATATAAATTTCATCTTATATAAATAAATAATAATATAATTTTGTCCAAAATAAGAAATATTAAATTAAATCTTTCTAATATTTTTTAAAAAATGGTGACAATTTGCAAGAAAAATTATATAAAATCAATTATTACTTTTGGATAAACACCATCAAAATTTTTTAAAAATTTCCCTTCTAATTGTATATATCCTGCTTCCAATATTTTTCTAAAAATATTCTAAGTAGTAAAACAAATATTTATCCTTACGATTAAATGCTCCCTATAAACCGAGCTTATATTTCCAATTCACAAGTTTTACGACGAAGGACCTTTCGTTAAGATTAGCTTTTAGATGCGGAACGCAGTGAGACAGAGAGCTGTCGGGGAGGAAAGGGGGGAGGAAAGGGCGCGCGAAGCAGCTGGGGTTAATTTAAGTCACGTTGTACAGAGTCGAAGGAAGTAGTACTGTGGTGTTTACGTGTACGACCCTATGGCGCCACCAGGGGTGAGTGTCAAGGGTTGAAACGTCAGCCAGTTAAGGGCGCCTCGATTTGCATGGGGGTAGGG